GGATTGCATAGAGAAGAACACAACTGGAAGAGAAACTGTGGGCTGGGGAGATAGCTTGGCAGTCTACATGCCTGTCTGGCAAGTGCAAGGACCCCAGGTTCGATCCCTGATACCACGTGCCGTGCCAGATCTGGAACTCCAGGTGTGCCATGCCGGCCGCTGAAACCGGGAGTGCTGGTGCATGCCTGTAAACCCAGCACTGGAAAGGCTGAGACAGGAGGATCACGATGAGTCCAACCTGAGTAGCAAGACCCTGTACCAATCAATCAATCAATCAATCAATCAAAGATTAAAATTTAAAAAAAGAAACTGTGGTGATTTAGATGTGCTGTTAATACTATTTAAAAAAAACATAAACCTGAAGTCTGACATTTAGATAACAGCTAAGCAAATCATATTATGCAACCAGACATCTAGATGATGAATATTTTACCGGGGACTTTTTTTGGTACCAGGAATTGAACTCAGGACCTTGTGCTTGTCAAGCGGGTCCTTGGACCACTGGGCTATTTCCTGAGCAAGGTGAATAAATACCTTAAACTCATAAATTTTATTTTTTGGTCAGAACCAGGGATTGAACTCAGGCCCTTGAGCTTTCCAGGCAACCACTTATTCTACTGAGCTATCTCCCCGGCCCCAAACTCATAAATTTTAAAGGAAAACCATGGGTGATTCACATGTCAAAAATCCAAATTTGTACCTATGGGTATGTCTGTAATCTCAGCACTCAGGAGGCTGAGGCAGGAAGATTGCGGCAAATTTGAGGCCAGCCTGGGTTACAAAGTGAGTTTAAGGTCAGCCTGAGCTACATAGTGAGACCCTGTCTCAAAAAGACACAAAGAAAAAGAATTCATGCTTGTGTATCACGAAAGTCACCTTTAGGCAAGTTCAAGGAGGCAAGTGACAACAGTGAGGGTTTGGAGGCTCCTAGGTGACTTCCAGCCTCAGCAGGTGAGGGATGAAGATGTCAGGCTCACCAGAAACCCCACGCATGCCAGTGGGGTATGAGCACCCCAGAAGTGCGGGGATCATATCCAGGAAGGTTAGCGACAAGGACCTTCTCACAGAGGCCCAAGTGGCCAGGTAAGAGTGGCTGGAAGGGACCCACTGCTCTGTATCCAGAGACTGCTGGTGTGAAGATGGCTGAGTGGAGGGTCATGGTGGCTGAGTGGGCTGGGTGGTCCACAAAGGCCAGAGGAGAAAGCCAGGAGCCATGGACCCTGCTGGGACACCCCAGAAGAGCCTGGGGTGCAGTTTGGATCTGGATTGTACCCTAACAGCCCAAGTGTTCAAGCATTGGTGCCTAGCACTGGCAGGTGTTGGGACGCCCAAGAAATGGATCCTAGTAGAGCTTTGGATTCCCTGGGGATGTCCTGAAGGGCACCGTGTGGCCTCCATCTCGTCCTCTTTCCCTGCCAGCTACAGGCAAGCAGCTGTGCTCTGGCGTGTGCTCCCCGCCACGATGTGCTGCTTGGCCACAGGCCCCAAATCAGAACAGCCAAAGACCAGGAGCTGCAGGCTCCAAGCCCTCAGCCCGAGCACAGCTTTGCTCTCCACCACTGGCTACCGCAGGCGCTTGCCCCTGTGGTGGGCGGCTGACTGACTGAGCTGGGAAGGACCAGTGTCAGGAGGGCAAGCGTCCTGGGAAGGTGAGTGTCAGTGCTTTACAACAAACATAAACATTATTCTTTTCTTTTTTTTCTTTTTTTGGTGGAACCGGGGATTGAACTCAGGCCCTTGCGCTCGCCAGGGAAGTGTTTATTCCACTAAACCATCTCCCTGGCCCCATTATTCATTTCTTAAAAAAAAAAAGTTTCATGGGGCTGGGGCTTCAATCCCAGGTTACCATGTGCTAGGCGAGTATCTATCAGGGAGCTAAATCTTCATCCCACTTGTGTTGTTCTTAAACGCCCACCATAAGTAAGGCACCATCTTATCAATACTCAGTTTAAGGTAGAATTACTTATTCTTTCTTCCCCTGAAAGCTTGCAAGTATATAAGGAAATATTGGAACAATTAAGAGAACCCAGGTATGGTGATGCACCCCTATAATCCCAATACCCTGGGAAGCTGAGGCTGGAGGGTCAAAATTTCAAGCCTATCTTGGGTAATTTAGCAACTTAGTGAGACCCTGTCTCAAAATGAAAATAAAAATAAAAACAAAAACAGAACAAGAAAAAACAGAACTAACAGTGATGTAGTTCCGTACAAAGGTTCTGGCTTCAACCCTCAGTACTGAAGGACCAGGGATATAGCTCAGTAGCATAAGCACCTGCCTGGCAAGCACAAGGTCCTGAGTTCAATTCCTGGTACCAAAAAAACTAAACTAAAGTAAAATATGGTGCAGAACCCTCAGTACTGAAATAAAACAAAGTGAAAAATATTAAAAGAAAAATAGAGAAGTGTGTCTCTCTAGCATGTACTTGTAATTTCAGCTACTGGGGAGGATGAGGCAGTCTGAGCCCAGGCTGACAACTCAACAGACCCTTAAATACAAAATGAAAAGGGCAGGGGATGTAACTCCATGGTATGATGCCTCTGTATGCCATGCCCAGTACTAGGTGAGGTGGGACAAAGACAGACACAGAGACAGAGAGAAAATTGCTAGGAAAGTAGTTAAGGCCAAAATCGGGGCCTGAGCTCTTTCTAACCTGAGGCTGCCAAAGTTCAAAGGCCTTCTCTATCCCCAGTTCTCATCTGTAGCTCGGGCCTCCTAGCAAGCAGCCCAGGTGTGGCCTACATGAACCCTGTCTGTCTAGCCCAGTGCCTGTTACACAATGCAGCCTTTTCCCTCCACAAGCTTTTCTGGACTGCTCCGCAGTGGCTTCACACAAACCCTCCTGCTGGCCTTCCCATTTGGATCCCTTCAAATTGCACTCTCCTTTCCATCTGCTCGCTGTTGGGGCCCAGACCGCAGGAGACACAGAGTAATTTAAATCCCTCAGAGCTGTCAAAACTCATTACCTAGGCTTTGCATGGCATCCACCTGCAGACGCCTCTTAGGAGAGGACGTCTGTGACTCTACAGACTGAATCTCAGACATAAAGGGGAACATTAGGCCAACATGGCAATTTCAAAAATGTATCTGCAAATTCCCATGTATAATTCTTCCTCTTATTTGTGATTTGTCCCTATGAATTGCTGAAATGATGCTACAGACTGCCAGGTCTGGTTCTCTTCTTTCCCATTACCCCTCTTTCCTCCTCCCCTGCTCAACCATATGGAGAAACTACCTAGGGACAGCAATGCCTGGGGAGCCTCCAGGTCCTCACCAGACAGACAGGGTGGGGGAACCTTTGACTGCTCTCATCCCCAGCCTTGGGCTGCCCTACCCCACACAGAGTAGAAATGTGCTGTCTCCACTGCCTTGCTCAGGGAGTGCTCATGGGTAAAGAAAGTCAAGCTATCAAGGGCATTGTTTTCTTGTTGTGTGTTTCTTGGGATTGAATTTAGGCATGCTACTACAGAGCTATACCCCCAGCACTTCTTATTTTTGATTTTGAGATAGGGCCTCACTATGTAGCCCAGGCTGGCCTCAAACTTATGGTCTTTCAGCTTCCCAAGTTTCTGGGATTACAAGTGTGTACCCAGCTATGCCCCAAAGCTGTGGGGTGGTTTGTTAAATCACCATAGTAACTGAACACGGATCGTGGAAGGCCTGGCCCCATGCATACAGCAGTGCAGTTGCATGCACCTTGCTCTCAGGCAGCCCCTCCCTGTGCTAAGTCTAATGTTTGAGTCTTGAAACTTGGTCACCTTTGGAGCAGGCCCTGCAGGTTACATACCTGGTCTGAGCCCTACGCATGTGAGTTGCCACCATTCTGCCATTTGGTCCTATGTGTCCCTCACATCTGAAACTGTCCAGCCTGTGCGGTGGTAAGAGAGCAGAGATTTAGAACCAGCTAGAACCATCATCAACTGCCACCTCCACCACTGACTGTCCCTGTGTCTGTGGATCAATTAACTATCCTCACTAACACAGTTATCTGGCTTGCTTGATGGAAACAGCAATGTTTACCTCACATAGTTAAAGTGAATAGTAAATGGGTAAATTAATTCTTGCAGACATAAAATACAGCTTCTTGCCTCTGGCACCTTCTTTATACCCACATCAGATAAATGTTCCTTGCTAGAAGTCCACTGCTCCAGAACTTTCAATGGCTCCCTATTTCTACCACAGCCCAGAGTCCTAACTCGAACATTCAAGGTCTTCTACAATCAGACACTAAGTTATTTTGACACATCTTTTGCTGCTGTATTACTCTAAGGCTCAGCTTCAAACCAAGGGGTACCAGAATCTCCTAAAATACTCCTCACTTTTACTTTTCAGGATTTTGCCCAACCTGTTCCATCCTCAACTTGGAATATCCTGGACCCTCCTGCTCACTCTTACACTCAGTTGTAGTCCATCTTAAAACTTCAAATAACTGCACATGGATTAAGACTGCATGACTATTCTCTTAAATACTGAGTCCAGCTGTGGCATTTTTTAGTAACCCACCTCCATTACTTGAAGGCCAGCAGGCCAGGACCTCATGTAACGTGTAAGGAGGTTGGTGTGATGTGATCGGCACATACTTGCATATTTCCAAGCATTTACAAACGCTTTGTAAGCAACAGAAACAAAGCAGCCATTGAACCACTGCTTGTCAGATAAAAACGTCTCTAAGCATTTCCTATCTTCACAATGTACATGAACATCTGCTACCCTAGGAGACGCATGAAAGCCACCATAACTGCTAGTCAGCAATTGTGATGCAATCCCATAAAGTTATTCAGACACACACACACACACACACACACACACACACACACACACACACTTACAATGACTGACTTTAGATTTAGATTTGTCCCAGCCTTTGCACCAGCTCATGAAAGCAGAGCTCAGGCTTGGGGCTGACTGAGACTTCTGACCGAATCCTGCTGTGTGCTCTAAGAAGGTGTCTTAACCCCTCTGATTCCTGGGATCTTCATTTTAAAAAGGAGGATAGCAGTACCTGCTCCACAGAGACCTGGGCAGGGTGTAATGAGTTAACACAGGCTAGGTGGCTGACAGCAAGCAGTTGTTCCTCTAGTTTCAGAGGCTGTGGTCGGGCTTTTACCTGTGTAGCATGCCTCCCAGTGCAAACGATTCTAAGCGGCATTCCTGTCATTCAGCTCCTGCCTCTGTCTTTCTGGGCCATCACACCTACAGGGCATCCACTCCTTTTCAGACTCAGTCTTGCGAAGTTGTCTGGACTTAATCCTCTGCCTCAATTATCTCTCTGGCACCCGTACCCCCAGAGAAGGAGGCGGCGGCTTAGGGGCACACACCTGAGCGGGTCTCTGCCGGCCCCAGTCGCCTCAGAAAAACCGCCTTGGGCCTTTCCCCGCCCTCCAGGTCCTCTGTGCCCAGATGCGGCACAAGCCCTGCCTCTCCCACCCGCATCGCGGCCGCTGGAGCACCACCTCCCCCCGGAGGGCCGCCGATCACCGGGGGGACCTTCATCTCTCCAGCCCCCTCCTCTCCCAGTGGCCCAGGATGGCCTCCTCCCCGCGGGGCCACCCACCTGCTGCGGGGCTGCGGCTCCGGCTTCGTGCGCGCTCGGGGTGTCGCGCTGCCCGCGCCTGTCACCCCCTCCGCGCCCGCTCCACGTGGCCTCCACGTCTCTCTCCCGGTTGCGGCCGCCGCCCAGGCTGGGCAGAGTCCTGAGCTCGCGCCAGCCACGCCCGCTGCCCTGGGCACCATGCCTGCCCCCGCCAGCTCCCTTCGGTCCCCAAGGGGATGGGGGGGGGTCACCGCGTCGGACCCCCAGAGAAGACAGCCTTGCGTGCGTGCGTGCGTGCGTGTGTGTGTGTGTGTGTGTGTGAGAGAGAGAGACAGACAGACAGACAGACAGACAGACAGACACAGAGACAGAGACAGCGACAGCGACAGAGATAGAGACAGACAGACAGACAGACAAGAGACAGAGACAGAAAGACAGACAGAAGCAGAGACAGAAAGACTAGAAGCTAGGTTTTTTGTTTTGTTTTGTTTTTGCAGTACAGGTTGACACTGAGCTTCCAATGCTGGTTTCCAGTGGCTGCATATAGTCCCATTCCCATGTATTTACTTATTATTTTATAGCTGGGTCTCACTAAATCCCTAAGTTGCCCAGGCTGAGCTCGAATTTGTAAGCCTCCAGCCTCAGCCTCCAGAGTGCTGGGATTACAGGGGTGCACCACAGATGCCAGGCTGCAACTGGAAAGACAAAGAGTCAGTGAGTGAAGCTGGTGTGTATGAGAAGAATGGTTTACCTGTGGTCATTCTGGGGTGTCACTGGCTCTGTCTGAGGGACCCGGATGTATGTGACAAAATAAAATATAACTTACTGTCAGCACGTGTGACTGTGACTGGTAGATGTGGTCTTAGGTATAAGGAACTTGTGAAGCATTAAGGGACATTTTGTGTGTCTGGAATGCAGTATGGGCTTGAGAGAGTATGGCCAATGTGTGGCTATCTTATGTGTGTGGCTGATTATCTAGCTGTGGGACAGTGTAGGGTGTCAGCAGTATATGTTCCCTGAGACTGGTAGAATTCATCCCAAGGTGTTGTATGATTTTCAAGTGACACTGAGCTTCCAATGCTGGTTTCCAGTGGCTGGATCATTCTGTGACTGGCACTGTGCATACCACTAAAGAGTGGCCTGATGTGAGGGGACCGGCAGACAAGAGTATGTGGCCATTGCAGCCATCATTTTAAGGGCCATGGTGGCAGTTGTTTTACAGCACAGTGCTGCAATTATGTGGCTGTCACTTTTTTGACCTGGTGGCTTGTCCCTCCAACTAGGCTCCAGCCCAAGGACTTGGGTCATCCAATGACCTTTTCTGTCTTAGAATCTTCAGCCTCCACCTCTCCATCAGAACCTGCCATCAGCATCTATCCTAGCAACCAGCTATCTCCATCTGTCCTCCATTCCTGGGGGAGTGCTGCTGACCACTACCCCTTGAGTCATGGCATCCAGGAGTTCCCACATCATCCTTCCTCTCTGGTCCTGTCTACTTGATTTTCTTCATGAGTTAGAGCCCTCAGCTCTCTCTCCTCACTTCCCATCTGGGGGTCCCAAAATAGCAGGCTTGACCACCTGTCCCAATATGCCATCAGCTCACATAGCTTCCATCGCTATCTATTATGGGTTCAGCTGTGTTCTCCAGAATTTAATATGTTGAAATCCTGACTCAGTGCCTCAGATATGACCTTATTTGGAAATATGGTCATTGTGGATGCAACTCATTTAGATGAGGCTGTACTGGGGTAGAGTGGGTTCTGAGTCCAGACTGCTGGCATCCATCTTAAAAGGAGAAAGTTGGACACACACAGTAAGAGCACTGCTATGGTCTAAATGACTCCTCAGATTTGTGTACTGAAACTTCATCCCATTGTTATAATATGAAAAGGTGGGACTTTTTTTTTTTGGCAGAACCGGGGATTGAACTCAGGCCCCTGTGCTTGCCAGGGAAGCACTTATTCCACTGAGCCATCTCCCCAGCTCCAAGGTGGGACTTTTTCAGAAGTGAGTAAGTCACAACAGCTTTGCCCTCATGAATAAATTAATTTCCTCATAAAGGAGGCTTCAGAGTTTCTTTGTCTTGCTTGCCTGTCTGTCTTTCCACCACGTAAAGACAAATAGATGGCACAATTTATGAATAGGCCAGCACTAGACACTGAATATATTGACACCTTGATTTTGCACCTCCCAGCTCCCAGAATCATGAGAAATGAATTTCTTAGTACAGACTAAGAGAAATGCTGTGTGAAGACAAAGGCAGAGATCAGGATGAAGCTTCTTGAAGCTGAGGATCACTGACAATGTCAGAAAATCACCAGAAGCTAAGAAAGAAGCATAGATCAGCTCCTTAGAGCTCTCAGAAGGAACCTTGATCATGGCTTTAGTGTCCAGAAGCATGGACAATACATTTCTGTTGTTGAAGGCACCTAGTTTGTAGCACTTTGTTACTGCACTTTTACAAGATAATATTTCTTTTTTTTTTTTTCTTTTTTTGGTGGAACCAGGGATTGAACTCAGGTCCTTGCGCTTGCCAGGGAAGCACTTATTCCACTAAGCCATCTCCCCGGCCCCTACAAGCTAATATTTCACCTGAACACTGATAACTATGAAATCCCTGACTCCAACCTGAGAGCCCCAGAGCACTTCAGGAATTGAGCATCCTACTGATTTGGGCCTTGGCCTTCATTTATATGCGTGGTTAAGTGACAGCGCCGAGAAGTCAGTGCTATTGAAAGAAAAACTAAAGATCACTTGCAGCTACCCTGGAGATCAGAGGCAAGGCAAGCCATGTTTCTGGGGAAGCACCAGTGTCCCTCCAGAGGTGGACAGGAGCCAGAGGAGGGCATGACAATGCAGGGGAAAACTTAGAATTAGTTTGAATGGTTTTGGGGCATTTAGGGGGCTATGGAGTGTCCTCCCAATCCTATAGCACCTGACCCAGAGTGACTTGGAGCAGTGACTTGGTTTGGGTGTGAGAGTTAAATTAAGTGGGTCAAAGTAGGGCCCTGGATGCAGGGGAGACCTTGCCCACTACTTGGCCTTGTGATGGATAGATGCCACACAGACAGCTGCTGAATCTAGGAAAATGCAGAACACCCCCAGCACACCATCTGTCTCAGCCTGTATGCATCTTCTTCCTCCTCAAATGTCTTTTTCCTGGTTTTGCATCCCAGAGATGGACATCCCTGCATCTGTGTAGTCAGAAACCTGGGGTGATCCATGTTGTCCCCTTTGCCCCATCTCCAGCCTACTGCCATGGCCTATCACTGCCTTCTGTCTCAAGGATCTTTGCTCCGGGCCTAGAATGGAACAGCCTCCCAACTGACCTCTCCTCTCCCCTTTTCATCTTCCTTCAATCCGGTCACCAAGTAGTCTGAGAGAGTCTTCTAGAATGGGACACTGATCATGTCACCCAAACCTTCATAAATCCCTTTGATGGCTTCCTCTGCACTCAGGATAAACTCTCTTTCTGCAGTTGGTCACCCCATGGTCCTTGACCACTCACATACTTTCCACTCCAAATTTCTTTTAACTCCTCTGAGAAATTTCCAGGCCTTTGCTTATCCTGGAGCACGGCTCTTGCCTCTCACTTTTCTGGGAAATTCCTATTCTTTTTTTTTTTCCCTGCCCCTAATGAAGTATCCTCTTTAACATGGCAGCTAGTACTTCACTTCAAGTAGCACTCCCATTGCAGGGGTTCAATCTTGAGTGCACGATTGAATCTCCTAGAAAGTACTTACATTACATTGTACACCTTTTCTTTTTTCTTTTCTTTCTTTCTTTTTTTTTTTGGTACCAGGACTCAAACTCAGAACCTTGCCCTTGCCAGGCAGGTGCTTATGCTACTGAGCTATAGCCCCAGCCCTACATTACACATCTTGATACCTACATACATTGATATATGAGCTCTTCTTCAGACCAACTATATCAGGGGTAGCACCTGAGCATACCTCCCAGATAATGCTATCTATAGTTCTCTGCTCTTGTACATTCTTTATTCCTATATCTCAGTGAAGATAGTGCCTGCTATAGAGTGGGTGATGAGGCAAGTCTCTGTTGTATAATTGTTACTGGAGGTTCAGGGCAAAATCCTTGATTGACTCTGAAATTCCCAATGTACCAGGCTTAGTCACCTGTCCCCATGTGCCAATCAAAAAGACAGGAAAGGAGTCTTGATCAGTATGGCTGTGTGAGGAAAAACAGAAAGAATGCTCAAGTTCTGTCTTCAGGGGGCTAGCAGGAAGTTGGAAGTTTAAAGAAAAAGGGAACAAGGGTAAGGGCTGGGGTCAGCATAGCTATGGGTTTTGCACAATTCTGTCAAGTTGTGATCTAGGTAGTTATCTCAGGCTAGTTCTGTGAGGTGCCAGGAAAGCCCTCATCCCTTGAGGGGCAATTTGATTTCCATGGTGAAATTACTGTTGCTGCTGGTGATTGTGCATCTGATTCACGTCAGGGGCTCACTGATTATGATAAGAAGGGCAGTCTTATTGTCATAGGGAAGCCACTTCCAACCTGTTAGATGCCAGCTAACAATTTGTGTCTCTCAGTACTGAAGAATGGATTTGAGGATAGAGAGGTGTTTTTTGTTGTTTGTTTTTGTTTTTGTTTGGTTTTTTTTGGTGGAACCAGGGATTGAACTCAGATCCTTACACTTGCCAGGGAAGTGCTTATTCTACTGAGCCATCTCCCCAGCCCCTTTTTTTTTTTTTTTTTTTTTTTTTGGTGGCTCAGGCTGCCTGAAGGGCAGGGCAAGCTGGGGATCGAACCTCTGTATCCTGCTCCTGACTGCCTTTGCTTAAGCAGGCACTTAAACGACTGAGCTAAGGGCAGGCCCCTCAGAGAGAAGAGTTAAGAGTGGAAAAGATATATATTGACAAGAAGCTACTGAGAGAAGGGAGGGGTCCCAAAAACTGAACCTCTGCATCTAGGGGTAATTTATATACAAAACCACAACTTGGATAAGCGAGCTACAACCAGTTTATGAGATTATGAGTATAGTTGCTTAGCTAATATTGGTCCAGTTGGGAAGTGAGGCATATGGCAAGGGTATACCACGGGCATCGTTAACTTTAGCTCATCTCTAACTTTTACCATACAATCAAGGCATTCTTAGAAAAGGATGGGAGTATGGGTCAGGGTACTCTGATCACATGTCTGATGAACTAGCTGGGCTCACCAAACCAGGTAGTGCTACTTACAATAAAATCTCAACCTGCCATTTATCTCAAGGAGGATGCACAGGTCTGGCTCTCTTTAGATCTGTCTTCAAACACAATTTTTTTTTTTTTTTTTTTTTCCGGAACCAGGGGATTGAAGTCAGGCCCTTGCACTTGCCAGTGAAGCACTTATTCCACGGA